ATGTTATATATATAATTCTTTAAGTAAGTCTCGTCATAACCAAAAACATTAAGCGTCTGGGACAAACAGAAAACATAAAGAGAAATATAAAGAAGAAGCAATCAAGGGATAATGATTACCACCAACATCATCCGTGCACACACACACACACACACACACACACACAAATAAATAAATAAAATTATAACTTCATATAAGTCTCTTCTAGCCATATTACTGGAAGGGAACTTTCTCTACATCTCTGGAGATACAGATAACAAACTGTAGAGTGGCCCAAATACTGACCCCATGGAACTGAACCAAATCTTCTCCCACTCTCTGGAACATTTGCCTTCATTCCGCTCTATTAGCTTTTCCTTCTCACACATCTGTAATGAGCCTCATCCTCTGAAGTTTTGCCACATCAGCTCTGTGTCTCATTTATTGCAGAAGCTGGGTCTAAGAAGAATGGGCCAGGGGTCCCTTCAGACATGTAACTAAGGCTGACAGCTCAAGCCAGATTCCCATCCGGCACAGTGGCGCTGCCCCTCTGACAGCCCCTCGTCATTCCCAGAAGTCCAAGGAATAAGCACAGCCTTGCTTGATACGCTTCTGCTAAGAGCTCTGAGAACAAGGGAGATGTTAAAATGTCCATGGGAAGAAAAAGGCAGTGCGGACATTTGGCAGGAGCCAAGAAAAGCAGCCCTGAGCCCTGGGGACTTCTGGGCAGCTATCCCAGGGTATGAGCGCATGAAGCCTTGAAAGCAAGCACCAGGGACTTTTTTTTCTCTTATCAAAGGCAATATTGGTTTCATCTGGCTATACCATCCCTTAAGGCAACTATGCTTCCTGGACACTTGGACAACCAGATCTTACAACCTTTACTGAACTTGCCTTGATACAGAATGTGATTGATGGTTGGTTGGTTGGTTGGTTGGTTGGTTGGTTGGTTGGTTGGTTGGTTGGTTTATTGGTTGGTTTGCCTTGTACCTGAGCAATGTTCTGTGTGGCCAGTTAGATTCTTCAGCTTGGGCTTGGGTTTTTGGTCTGAAGTCACCTCTCAGTGATCATAGGTTCTCAAGGATCCTGAAACTGTACTCTGAACCAAGTCTTTTAAAAATATTCTTTTATTTACTCTTTGAGAACTTCATACATGTTTACTATTTGGCCAAATGCATCCCCTACTCCATCTCCTCCAACTCCCACCAGAACCACGCTACTCATCTTTCTTCTAACTTCAGGCACTGTCTTCTTTTAACCTCCTGAGTGCATTTAGTGCTGCCAGCACGTGCATGGGTGGAGGGCTATCCAATGTAGCATGGGCAACCTATCAGGGGTCACCTCCCCAGAGAAAATGACTGCACCCCCAGCAGTAATCCTTGGTAGTTCCCTGGGTGGGACAGAGCTGTGTGATCCCCTCTTCCCTCCATGCTAGACTTTTGATTGGCTTAATTGTGTGCAAATCTTGTGCCTGCATCCTTAGATGCTGTGCGATTCCAAGGCTTACCCTAATATACAGGTCTGCAGGAATGTAACTAGAGAATAGAATGTTCTTGATAAGGCCTAAAGGCAGGGCATGTGTTCAGTTTTATCATAACCAGAGGAAAGGCTATGTAAGGTCCTCAGTTCTGAAGAAGCCAGAAGCAATGATGGAAGTCATTTTTTTTTTCTTTTTCACAGACGTCCTCCACCTGGTACTCTGTGGGGCTGGGCAGAACTCTAGAGCAGCCCCATTCAGTGACCTACCCAGTTCAGTGAGGGAGATTCCCCTACCACCTTCCAGATAATCCAGGCTCTGGGATCTCCTCATCAGATATGAGAAGGTATCAACTTTCATGTCTAATCTCTCTTCTGATACGTGTGTGCTCTTGCTAATAGGTACAAGTCGAGCAGAGACATGGGGAACACATACCAGCTCTTCCTCACACCTAACATCTCCCAGGATTCCAAAGGATTGAGGGTGTGTGTCAACAAAGATCCTCTAGGCCAGTGGTTCTCAGCCTTCCTAATGCTGCCACTCTTAATACAGTCCCTCATGTTACGGTGACCCCCAACTATAAAATGGTTTCCGTTGCTCCTTCATAACTGTAATTTTGCTACTGTTATGAATCGTAATGTAAATATCTGTGTTTTCTGATGGTCTTAGGTGACCCTTGTGAAAGGGTCATTCAATTTCCCCCAAAGGGGTCTCAACCCACATGTTAAAAAATCACTTCTCTAGGCCGTGGCTGGTCGAGGTTGTTCATTACTTTTGTTAACTGATAAATCCATAAAAATCTCCACATGTGGTAGTAAATATCTGTAATACTAACACTAAAAACCCCAAGGCAGAAGAATTGGGAGTTCAAGGCCAGCCCAGGCACATTGCAAAACCTGGTCCCCAAAAACGAACTAAAATCTTACATAGTCAAAGGACACACAGACATTGTGCAATGTTTAAGTCAGATTAAATATTCAAATTCACAACCATTTATCATCCTTTTTTTTTTTAGTGAAAACTTTGTTTCACTTTGTTTGATTCACTGAGACCAGCCTCAAACTCTTGATCCTCCTTCCTCATCGCCTGAATGCTGGGACTAGAGGAATGGCCCATCCTGCCCAGCTGGTGAAACATTTAAAACCCTTTTCCTAGCCTTTAAGAAAATGTACAGTGTATTATTGTTATTTCTAGCCAATCTAGCATGCAATAGCACACCAGAACTTCTTGTGTCTAATTGGAACCCAGTTCCCAGGGAGTGGATGTCCCATGGCCCTCTCTGCCTATCGCCTCCTCTGGGAACTACCTTTCTGCTCTAACTTGTGTGAGGTCAATGTTTTCAACTCAAGATCATGTGGTACTCCTCTTTCTTAATTCACTTTACAGGATCTCCAGTTTCACTCATGTTGGGGGTGGTTAATATTAAATATAGTCACCCCATTTTCTTTGTCCAGTCATCAGTTGCTAGACATGTAGGTTGTTTCAATGTCTTAGATATTGTGAAGCATTTTCACAATTAATAAAGAAGTTCGGTTGTCTCTTGACATGCTGATTTCCTTTCCTTTTAAGAAATCCCCACTAGTACCATTTCTGGATCACAAGGTCATTCTCTCTCAGTTTCTGAAAGACCCTCCATGTTATTGCCCATGATGGTTCTAGCAAGACACTCCAGTCAACAGTGTACAAATGTTCCCCTTTTTCCTTGCCCTCCCCAGCAGTTGTCACCTTTAGTCTTTCTGTAGCAGCCATTCTTATTGAAACCAGATATGCACCTCCAATATTCATTAGTATTTCTAGGCCATTAGTGATGCTGAGAAAGACTGTTTTTATAAAAAGCATCTTTTCCTTCTGTTACACTGCTATCCATCGGAAGGTGGTCTAGCGTGCGAATTCAAAACAAAAACATGATTTTAGGTTTGTTGACTAACAAGTACACATGTAGAACACAGCTCCAGCAGCAATTGCTCTCTCCAGGCAAGCTCCTTCAACCCCTCTGAGCCTTAAATTTTGCATCTCTAAAAGAATGGCCAAGCCTCTTTCCTGTATTCATGGACAGCAGATGTTTGGGATGAGGCTGAAGCCCTGTGAGTCCAGAAGTCCAATGAGAGGTGCTCTCATGGCAAAGAATCCTTCCTTGGAAGAGACAGCTCACCCCTGGCCACCAAAACACGTCCATGCAAAACCCACTGGGGTCTCACCCCGAGTTTAACTCCAAGTAGAGACCAAAGCAAGATTCTCTCAGCAGTTTTCTGTCACCGAGAAGACATTTGGAGGTCTCTGAAGGAGAAAGAAAAGATGGCTACTACGGTGGGTTATTTAATAATAATAATAATGAGTACTTACGGTATACCATAAGTATACTTACGGTATATCATGCGTGCCAGCAAGATGGCTGAGCTGGGCTCACCACTGGAGTTCCATCCCTAGAACTCACGTAAAGGTAAAAGGAGACAACTCCACAATGTTGTTCTTTGACTTCCACATGCATACTGCACACACACACACACACACACACAGACACACACACACACAGACACACACACACACAGACACACAGCATGGAAACATGTGCACTCATATTTTTTAAATAAAGTATACCAGCATGAACACATTTTTCATTTTATTCTCATATCCTCAAAAGGAGGAAATCCTTCCTACGATGTACCTGGTTCTGGAGAAGATGCAGCTGGAGCTGAGATGCTAAATAAAGTCTTCAAGAAAGTAGTCCTTCAAGACAGAGTGTAACCCATAAAACTGCACTCTGCTGACCTCTTACAGACTGAAGAGTGTGGGCCGCTTGGCCGCAAGCCTACCTCCAAGGGCAGAATAAAATCAAAGTTACTGTCAGTCGTCCATTGCTGGCCCCGGGCAGAGCAAAGCTAATGGCTCATATCAAGGGCCACATTTTTAGCTCCAGGGACGTCTTGTCCAGTTCCTCTTCTGAGTCTAGGCATCCAACCGTGAACGCAGCACAGAACTGGCCCTCCCGTGGGAAAGCAGCAAGACTCAGCCATTCCAAAATGGGAGCTTCTACCCTGACCCCTGAGGTCCTCACACCGTGATTGGTATCTCAAGCCAGCTGTTTGGAAAAGGAAGTGCACCTGGGAACTTTGCTCCATTTATATCTGTCTCCGGACAGGAGAGTAAGTGAGGACCCTTCCCTTCTCTACTGCATGAGTAATTAATCAATCCTTCTACTCTTGGTCAAGCTCTGTTGAAATGTTAAGACCCTTTTGTTTCTTGGAACACTGTGAGCACTCCTTACCTTTATTCTACCCAGTCTTGAATTACCTGTACTCAGGAATGATGTTTCTGGGACCCTGGGCTTTCGGTGTGACTTGAAGGCAAATGATGCAGCCATTTTTCCCCTGAATTTTCAAGAGGTGAGGGGGAAGGTACTTAGGTCTGACGTGGGGTGTCCTGCTCTGCTGGTGGAGACACTCTGCCCTTGGCTGAGTGCCTTCACATCATGTGGTTTGCAGAAATAAAGGTAGCGCTGAATGGCACGGGGTTCTCCTCTTCTTCTGAACCCTGTAGGAACTGTGGTCTTCCCAGAAGAGGGAGCCAGAATCCAGCCCCACCTAACCCAGAACATCTCTATAAAGGAGGCTTCCTGACGGCTAAATGGGCAGTTTCGGCTCTGCATTCTCCACAACCATGCACCTCCATCTTTCAGGGTTACTCTTCTTCCTGGTGATCTCACTGCCTGCAGGTAGGAAGTGAACTGTGGGTCTGAATATGTAAAGGTCTCCTAAGGGCTCAGATCCTAAAATTCAAATAAATTAGCAAGCAAGCAAACAACCAAATAAATAGCATAAGCCCAGCACGGAAAGTTCCACCCATAGGAGATGAGCCAGTAGGTTAGGGCTAGGATGTGGGTAAGGAGTATCAGGGTGTCATTCTCTGTACGAGTTATCTTGCACTATTTCCTGAAGACCCCCAGGTTCTTTAAAGAGGGGAGCCCATTTCATGATGCGTGCATCCCTGTTCAGTCACCAAATTCCTATCTCCTCTAAATTGTGCTTTTGTTTGTTGAGACAGGATCTCTCTATGTAGCCCTGGTTTTTCTGGAACTCACTCTGTAAACCAGGTTGGCCTTGAGCTCCTAGAAATCTACCTGCCTCTGCCTCTAGGGTGCTGGGACTAAAGGTGTGTGCCACCATGCCCGCTTGTTGTGGACCTAGACTCTACAGTCTCCCCGAGATAAGAAGGGAAGCCAGAGGACGAGTCCGGAAAGGGGAATCAACAGATACCAAACCCTCCACCAACAGGAAAAAAAAATGAGACTGCCTTTGCTCCACACCTCCCGAACACTGATTTGTCTTTTTCTCTATTCCTTCAGGTAACTGTGCAGTTGGGAATAAAGGTGTAGAATTTCAAACGTGTACCGCAGTCAACGGCGTTTGTTTCTTTGGCTGTCGGCCAGGATGGATATGGGTTGGCTACTGTAACAACCTAATGTCCTGCTGTAAAAAGGACACTGTATTTGTACTTCCTCAATCCAAAGGTATATGACCTATGTATGCTTCCCGGCTCCAATTAAAGAACTATGTGAACGAATAAAGAGTTCCCAATCTGTCTCCAAGGCCCAAGAGCTCATTAAGAGAGGTTGTGGGTGGCAGACGGGGATCACACTGTCAGATCTGCGATTTACTAGGTTCCAAATGTTCCTAGTAAAAAGCATTGCAGTGAACGGCACTTCCTGGTCTTTCTTTCTTGTCTTAAATCATACATCCCTGCTTGGGACTGGAGATATGGCTCAGTGCACCAGCTGCTCTTCCAGAGGACCCAGGTTCGATTTCCAGCACCCACATGGTAGTTCACAACCATCTGTAACTGCAGTTCCCGGGGATCTGATGCTCTCTTCTGGCCTTTGCAGGTGCTTCATATACGTGATACACTGATAGATACCACATATATAAAGTTCAATTAAACTTAAACAAAAACAATAAAGTCCATACAAGTCCACAGACCCAAGGAAAGGACATTCTCTGTAGAAACAATAGCTGCCATGATGCTATCGGTCTTTAAACTGTTTTTGCATATATCAAACTGCTTACCCCTCAAAACAAAAATTCGATTTCTTCAAATGATAATTTTCCCCAAGATCACACAAGTAGAAATTAGTTTGTCCTGCATTTGAACCCAGCCCATTTTCACTTGCTTCTTTTTCTTGTTGTTATCATCATCATCATCATCATCATCATCATCATCATCATCATCATCATCAATTTCTCCAAGGAAGAGCACACCAATTGATTATCCAATACCAAATGGTCAGGCCTGAAAAACATATACACACAAGTAATATACAAACTGAACAGGTGTAATTACTTTAAAGGGACCAAACACTGGTCTGTTGCCTGTGTGGAGCCCTGAATGCCTTCCAGGTTCATCCTTCCCCTTGATGAGTGAATGACCACGAGCAGCCATAAAAATACCCAAACCAGATGATTACAAGTTCGGCAGCTACCAATCCCTGTAAATATCAGAATGTTCCATCTTCCCACACGTCCTGCTGTTCTGAAGTCCTAATGGCCACGGCTCTTTTCCAGCTCCACAAAGCATGTTCTACAGATGATGGCTCCTTCTCGCCACCATGTGGCAGCTGTCGCCCATTTTACTTCCTCTCAGTCTTTGCACACCAGATTTCAGTCCACGGTGGGCATGCTGGAGAATTCCAAGGCTTTTCTAAGGTCTCAACTGTCGATTGCTTTCTTTCCTTTGGTCAAAAGCAGCACAGAGCAAGGTCTGCAGTCAGAATTCAGTAACAGAATAGACTTTGCTAGAGAAAGTTCTAGAGACTAATTGCATAACCATGTCTACCCTTAAAATGGCACTGAATTGTACAGCTAAAAGGAACTGGGAGGGAGCCTTGCGGTATGGCTCTTTGGGTGAAGGTGCCTGATGCTATACCTGACTAACTGAGCTTGATCCCCAAAACCCACATGGTACAAGGAAAGGGCCTTATGCATGCACTAGCACCTGTCTGCATGTGTAAACACACACACATACAATACACACACACACACACACACACACACACACACACATGCACGCAGACACCACACACACGCCACATCTGACTGAAGACCAGTGAAAAACTGAGTTCAGAGAGGGGAGAGACTTGTCGGTTACACTTCTGGTGATGGACCACAATTAAGAATTGTTTTATCCCGCCGGGCGATGGTGGCGCACGCCTTTAATCCCAGCACTCGGGAGGCAGAGGCAGGCGGATCTCTGTGAGTTCGAGACCAGCCTGGTCTACAGAGCTAGTTCCAGGGTAGGCTCCAAAGCCACAGAGAAACCCTGTCTCGAAAAAGAAAAAAAAAAAAGAATTGTTTTATCTCTTTTGATCTTTGTTGTTTGGAAAAATGGACACTTGGGTAAGACTAAAAAGAACATAGATAAAAAGTCAATGCAATCCACCATTGACCCCCTTCCCCCCTGAGGCGGTGCTGGTCTTTGAAAGTCCTGGGGTTCCCTCAGCCCTGGAGGTCTGGAGAATGGAAACTACCAGGGTAGGAAGGCCAACTGCTAGTTTTTGCTTCTGTCAGCAGGAGACGCAAGCACAGGCTTCAGGTTTCTTCCCCCTTCCCATCTGAAGTTTGCAAGATCCGAACAGAGCTAAAAGAGCATGATCTTGGATACAAACTTCACAGCAATAAAGGGAGGAGAGGAATGGGGATGGTGAGAGACAGTTTACTAATACTGGTCATAAAGACAGAATCCATTTCTGGCTGTATATGGTCATGAAGACCCTTAGCAAAAGTAATGCTTTGATTGAAGTTTTATTTTAATTGCACACGAATGTAGACTTGAAAGCCATCTGTCTGGACTCAACTCCTTGTCGCTCTTTGTTGAGGGACATTAGAAAAGGTGCTTACCAAACTCTAGCTGCCTGTCTGTGGATGGGAAACAATAGTCACGGAACAGACACATGTAAGTTGATGACCCAGAGATATTGAGTGAGACCGAATGTGTCCACTAGAACCCAGGCTGGCCTCGAACTCGTGGTCCTCCTGCCTCTGCCTCCTTCAGCAAATATTACCGGCGTGTGCCACCACAACTGTCACCGTGGTGGTGCAAACCTTTAATACCAGCACTCGGGAGGCAGAGGATCTCTGTGAGTTCGAGGCTAGCCTTGTCTAAAGAGTGAGTTCCAGGACAGCTAGGGCTGTTACATGGAGAAACTCTGTTTCAAAAAAACAAAACAAAACAAAGGAACCTTTGGAGAAGGAATCCAAAAAGTATGTACACATGGAAAGGCAAAGACATTGGAATGCAGCAGCTGTGCCACCCCTTCCTGTCAATTCAGCAATCGCATGTAATCCCTCCCACTAAACCTTCGACTAATCCTCAAGCAGCAGAATTTCTGACAATGAGGAGTGAGCCTGAGTCCCTTCTAGACATTGGAGCCCATTATCCAGACTTAACAAAGGGAGGCAGTAACAGCAAATGACCCGAAACATTGTCAAGTGGGAAAGGAAAGTTAAGGATCGCCCCGTAATTAGGGCCAGGGACACTGGCCAGCTCTCTGCATCTAAGGCTGGAGGTTCATTGCACGCATTGCCCTGGACTAAACTCAAAATGAAGTAGCGGTAGGGAGTTACAAAAAGGGAGCCGGAGGGTTACTTTATCATTGTCATACCTGAAATAAAATACAAATGTCGTTAAAAATAATCATAGATGACATCAGAGGAACCATTTCTTCACAGAAGAGTCAAAAAGGAAAATAATCAGGAAACAACAGATAATAAATTTTTAGAGGTTGAATTAATAGTTTCAAGTAAAACCTTTCAAATGTTAATAAAAACCCTTGAGATTCCTTCTATCTACAAAGATGTGTGTGTGTGTGTGTGTGTGTGTGTGTGTGTGTGTGTGCATGTGTACACGCCATAGCCCATGTGTGGAGGTCAGAAGTCAGTTTTGTACAGTTGTTTTTTTCCATTCTATCTCTTTGTGCACATAGGTTCTGGGGGTGGAACAGAGGTAACCCCTGAGCCATCTCAGTAGCCCAATATTGGGGTGTTATTATACTGGCACACACCCAAGCTGAGAACGGCTTCTGCTACTCACAACAGCACAGCCTTGCAGGCAACTTTCCAGACAAAACAATGAGGAAGAGAAGTTAGACAGGACAGGGACCCCACTGGCTGCCACTCACTTGGACTTAAGGAGCACAGCACTGTCAGAAGTAGGGGAGTAACTGTCTCTGGCGCTGAGGGGGATGAAGAATTCTGAGAACACTCTGGGAACATGTGTGTGGACATGGGCATAGGCTGGCACATGTTGACATCTGTAAGTAGCACTAGGAAGTGGTTCACATAGCCCCCAAAAATAATGGCGCTGATAGCCAAGCTTTCCTAGGTGGCGGCCTCCGAAAATCTGAGACGCTTGAGAGGCCGCCTAGGATAATGGCAAACACCAGAAATTTTGCAGAACAGAACAGACTTCAGATGTCTTGGGGGGGGGGGGGGGGGGCATGATGGTCCCCTCTGCCAGTTGTAGGCTAGTTCAGGGTCCACGTGTACCAACTAGACCCCAATCCCGCGAGGAAACAACAGAAAAGGAGGGCTCAGCCCCTCAACTGTGCTCCCATTTCTCTTCCAGACTTCCCAACAAAGCACGGGCTGCCTCGCGTTCCCTGACCTCGGGAGTCCCCGTACCCTCTCATCACCCCCGCCCACCGCATGAGGCACTGTCCAGACAAAACCCAGGCTGTCCACCCTGTGGCGCCGGCAAGGGGACAGCAGACAGCATGGCCCCTGCTCCCACTACCTCCCGTCCCCTGCCACCATAACATATGACCTCATCTGAGGATCCGGTTCCTATCAGCCACGTCGCTCCAGGCCAGCAGAGGGAGCATCGGGAGGAGCAGAGAGGGCACTGAGCTCTGGTTACTTTGGCAGAAATCTGCTCCTGCTTCTGCTGCAGCCTTCAAATCAGAGGCACCTCAGTCTTGTTCGTGGGACTTAGACACTGGGGGAGCTCCACTCCTGGCACGCAGAGCTCTCTCAGTCGCCTTCCTTTGTGCTAGCCTTGGGTACACACAGACATAAAGGAGAGCCACCACACAAATAGCCACAGGACAGAGGAGGCTACGTGTGTGTGTGTGTGTGTGTGTGTGTGTGTGTGTGTGTGTGTGTAATTATACACATACTCATGACTCTGACATTTTGTTGTTATTGTGGTTTGGGTTTTGATTTTTTTTTTTTTTTTTGCATGGATACTGGGGATCTGATTCAGGTCCTGCAGCTTACAAAGCAGGTACCTTACTGACTGAGCCACCTCCCCAACCCCAGGAGGATCCCTTTAAACAGCCTCTGCTACTTAAAGATATTACAGGTACCTCAGCCACAGGTATCCCAGCCACAATGCCTTCACTGTCCTGTAGAGTCATTTTACCCAGTCTAGAAAGTGAAGTCCAGGACGCAAACTGTTCCACGGTCCCATTACCCCATGGCCCACACTGGTACTTCAGTGGTGTGGGAGAAGCCTCCTGCAGGTGATGG